ATCCGACATGGGGCTCAAGCAAAGTAAGCAACCTGCTGAGTTTTTCTGCAAAACTCTTACAGCTAGTGACACAAGCACTCATGGTGGATTTTCTGTACCTCGTCGAGCAGCTGAGAAGATCTTCCCACCTCTAGTATGTACAAATTTGAAACTTTACATTTTAATACGAAAATATCAAAAAGCCGGTGTACACTTGTGGTAACTAGAAGCAATGATCTTTGATAGGATTTTTCGATGCAACCGCCTGCTCAGGAGCTTGTTGCAAAAGATTTGCATGATAGTGCGTGGACATTCAGACATATCTATCGAGGTATTTCCCTCTTTAAAACATTCTCCTATTGTTCTCTTCCTTCCCCATAAAGTATAACTTGTTTCTGTTTTTTGTTTTTCTTATTAGACGTTGAGATGCAAATTTCTGAATTTTCATTCTAACTGTGTAGCAATTTCATTTCAGGCCAACCGAAAAGGCACCTGCTGACTACAGGTTGGAGTATTTTCGTTAGCACAAAAAGACTCTTTGCCGGAGATTCTGTTCTTTTTATAAGGTATGAAAGATGTGGTCAATTAGATGAATGATTCAGCCCGATTTAGTTCCTTTGGTTATCGAGTTAGAACAATCTGGTTGTATGCAGGGATGAAAAATCTCAGCTTCTCTTGGGCATAAGGCGTGCTAATAGACAGCAGCCAGCTATCTGTTCATCAGTCATATCCAGTGATAGCATGCATATCGGCATTCTTGCAGCCGCAGCTCATGCTGCTGCAAATAACAGCCCGTTTACCATATTTTACAACCCAAGGTAACACTAGGATGTTTAGGTTTTTCTTGTTGGTCTTTAGGAAATGTCATCTGTAATTGTTATTTGATTGGTTCTGACAATAATTATTTGGTCTTAAAGGGCAAGCCCTTCTGAATTTGTGGTACCTTTAGCCAAGTACAATAAAGCGATGTATACCCAAGTTTCACTTGGCATGCGATTCAGAATGATGTTTGAGACTGAAGAGGCAGGAGTACGCAGATACATGGGCACAATCACTGGCATCAGTGATTTGGATCCTGTTCGATGGAAAGGTTCACAATGGCGCAATCTTCAGGTATTGGTTAGCATTTCATAGGATTTAGTCAAGATTGCATAACTTTTGTGTAGGTCTATGTTTAAGTGACACTGGATTGGTCTCATTCTTTATTTCTGCTGAGAGTTGATTTTGTGGCTCCCATTTCCAGATACAAATTTTAGTCGAAATTTTCTAGGCATTTTTGACATGCACTTAAGCTTAACCAGAAATTGAAACTTATATACTTTTTATAGGTTGGATGGGATGAATCAACAGCAGGTGACCGGCCTAGCCGAGTTTCAATTTGGGAAATCGAGCCTGTTGTGACTCCTTTCTACATATGCCCTCCTCCATTTTTCAGACCCAAGTTTCCCAAACAACCAGGGATGCCAGGTAAACCATATTGACAAGTTAGCTAGGCTCTTTAGAGTCTAAAATCTTCAAAGTCCATTAACTTGTAAAGAAATTTTTTAAAAGGTTAGCTTGAAAAGCTTTGTTGATGGAATCACACAAACGTTTTTTTGTATGTCCACGTGAATCCTGCCTATCTGTTTGTAACCTTGGAACTGCATTTTGTAGATGATGAATCTGACATAGAGAATGCTTTCAAGAGAGCCATGCCTTGGCTTGGAGATGAATTTGGCATGAAGAATTCCCCAAGCTCGGTTTTCCCTGGTTTGAGTTTGATGCAGTGGATGAACATGCAACAAAATAATCAGTTTTCAGCTTCTCAGTCTGGATTTTTCCCATCCATGGTCCCTCCAACCGGCCTGCAAAATAACCTTGGTACAGATGATCCATCCAAGTTATTGAACTTTCAAGCCCCGGTGCTGTCTGCACCCGGTCTCCAGTCAAATAAATCAGCTCCACAAAACCAAGCTAGCCAAATGCAGCAGCCGAATGTGACATGGGCCCAACAGCAGCAGCTGCAGCAATTGATGCATAATCCTATGAGCCAACAGCAGCAAAGTAACCCCCAACAGCAGCAGCTGCATCAATTATTGAATTCTTCAGCGAACCAACATCAGCAAAATCACCCCCAGCAGCAGCTGCAGCAATTATTGCAGACACCAACGAACCAACAGCTCCAGAATTACTCCCATCAGCAGCAGCGGGAGCCTCAACAACAGCAAGACCCTCAAAACCTGCTGCAGCATCAGCAGCTGCACCAACAGCAACCGCAACGTCAACAGCACCAGCAACAACAATTATCTCAGCCGAATCCGGTAAATAACGGCTCTGTTGCTCCTAACCAGGTCCCGGGCCAAAATTTGCAACAACCAGTTATGTTCTCCCAACATCAACAGCAGCAATTACTAACAGGGAATACCCAATCCCAGCAAGCCGTCCATTCTTCTAGTAAGAATTCATTTCAGGTGCCAACTGGACAACAAAACTCACAGCTCCAGCAGCAGCAACTGGAACCGCAACCAGGCGTCTTACAAAGGCAGCAGCAGGTGTCACAATTGCAACCGTCCCCACAGCAATTCTTGCAACAGAACATGTCACAGAAAGTACAGCAGCAGCCGCAAGTACAGCAATCATCTCAGCAGGGCATCTCTGAGCAACAACTCCAATTACAGTTGCTACAGAAATTTCAGCAACAGCAGCAGCCGCAGTTACTCTCCCCATCAAGCTCACTTTTGCAGCCTCAACTCTTACAGCAGCAGCTGGCCCACCAACAAAACCAGCAGTTACAACAGTTGCCTATGACTCAGCATCATCAGCAACAGCTAAGTGGTAACAGCTTCTCAACGGACAGACTTCTGAACAACTTTGCAGCTCCTTCGGTCATGCAGTCTCATCATATGCCATCTATCCAGCCCCAGAACCAGCACAAGCCACTTACAGCAATCAGAAGCCATTCTGGTCTTACAGAAGGCGATGGTCCATCATGTTCAACCTCCCCTTCTACCAATAACTGCCAGATGTCCCCATCAAAATACTCGAACAGGAATCAGCAAGGAACCGCCATGTTGTTGGGGGATTCAGTGGCAGAACCTGCTCATAATTTGGTTCAGGAGCTTCAGAGCAAGTCTGATATTCGGATAAAAAATGAGCTGCCCAGCTCAAAAGGGCCAGACCAGATAAAATATAAAGGTACAATCACGGATCAGTTAGAAGCTTCATCATCTGGAACATCATATTGTCTGGATGCTAGCACAATCCATCAGAACTATGCACTCCCCACCTTCTGTTTGGATGGTGATGTTCAATCGAATCCTCGGAGCAGTCTTCCATTTTCCGCTAATATTGATGGATTGGCACCGGACACTTTGTTGTCAAGGGGATATGACTCTCAAAAAGATCTTCAGAACTTACTGTCTAATTATGGCGGGACCAAGAGATATTGAGATAGAGTTATCCACTGCTGCAATCAGCTCTCAGTCATTTGGGGCACCAAACTTACCTTTCAAAACTGGGTGCTCAAGTGACATTCCCATAACTGATACTGGAGTTTTAGGCAACGGATTGTGGGCAAACCAGGCTCAACGAATGAGAACATATACAAAGGTTTGTCGCTATACTGAATCATCATTGGTTTGTTCCTTTTGAAGTTGAGGTGCATTTTTGTCTTGAAATTTGTAAACCGACTAGGCTACAACTGGAGGAAACTTCGTTTGCAGTTTCAGAGAGTCAGCTAATATATAGTGATATTATTATGACTTTGATTACATTAGGTTTTTGTTGTTTTAACGACAATTGTCAAAGTCAAATGTCATGTAGTAATATATAATTTCATTTTCTCCTCAAAATACCTTTGCCAAACTTTTGCCTAACCTTTGCATAATACTGAACTTAACAATTTCAGGTTCAAAAGCGTGGATCTGTGGGAAGATGCATTGATGTCACCCGTTATAAAGGCTATGATGAACTCCGGCATGATCTTGCCCGCATGTTCGGGATTGAAGGGCAACTAGAAGATCCACACAGGACGGACTGGAAACTTGTATATGTGGATCATGAAAATGACATTCTTCTTGTTGGCGATGATCCATGGGAGTAAGTTCAAGAACCCTGCAACAGAAAATAGCAAACCCTTTTGCCTTTCCATTCGCTCTTTCTCAAACATCCATTCTATAATTGCTTTCAGGGAGTTTGTGAGCTGTGTTCAGAGTATAAAGATATTGTCATCCGTTGAAGTACGGCAGATGAGCTTGGATGGAGATCTCGGCAACATTCCAGTCCCCAATCAAGCTTCTAGCGGAACTGACAGTGGAAATGCATGGAGACCTCAGTATGATGATAACTCTGCAGCCTCGTTTAATCGGTAAGGGTTCAAATGGTGAAATGATCAAGTCTTCGGCAGATGAAATTCAATCTGGTTTGCAACTGTGAGCTGTAATCCATGTGAGCGGAATCCCTCTCGTGCGATACTGATACAACGATCAGAACTGGAGTCTCTCCAATCATTGAGGGATAAAATTGTTCGTTGTCCGTTCGGTGTGAAAACTACTGATTCCACGGGTTTGGCGAATTGAGTTCCTTTAATTTCCAATAGCAGGTCAGTAGGAGCTCAAAAATATCTCTAACACTCTACAGTGACTTAGTCGTAATCCTTGCATATATTATTGTTGATGTGTAGCTTCATAAGTGAGATTTTTGGTGCGGTATGGCGCGGTGAAATGTATAATATGACCTTTCCTTCTTTGAGACCGATTCGACATTCAATTTCCTACTCATTTGTAAAGTATTCGTTCGATATAGAGGAATCGAAGAGATGGAATATATAACTAGATATACAACTCTAGTTATAACTCGTAATAGATGTAATGGACCCAGGATTTTTATGATTCATTTTTCGATCACAGAGAAGCACCTCTTATGAAACACCGAAACCGACGGCGGAGGAACGATTTTCCGGTGAAAGCTAGAAGCTTTGGTACATGAAAGCTAGAAACTTTAACCAAAAGATTCAGTTCTGAAAAATGGGGCTTCATCCAAGGTCATATGTGAAAATATAGTTGCTAACGAAATTGTTTCAAACGCAATCATTTTACATTCAAAAGTACAGAAAAGGGGAGTTGGAAGCCATCAAATCTATGTAATCAGATTCAGAAATGTTTTCAAGAAGCTCTGCCAGATATTTCAAAAATACAACTTGAGCTCATCTAATTCGACGACTAAGAAAGTATGGCGATGACATCTGAAGCTCTCAAAGTTATGTACTCCGAACCATCTTTGCCCTTGAAGTCATTTCCTGCATACTTGGAGTACAAAACTGTGCTTCCCTGCGAAATGGATAGTGGTTTCCTGTTTCCTTCCTCGTCAACAGTACCGGGTCCGACAGCAATCACCTGTTACATCGAAAGAAGGATGTGAACCGCAATATCTCAGAGCCCAAAAACCATATCCACAATAGCAGCAATGCCTTGAGCTACGATAAAAATATCATTAACCCCTTACCGTGCCAATGGAGGGCTTCTCCTTGCTTGCCTCTGTCAGCAACAAACCTCCCGAGGTCTTTTCCTCGGCCTCAGCTACCTGCATGATTGAACAAAGGGGAAAGAAAATCATGTTCTTTGGTTCAAACATACAGGAAAACGCATAGTAGCCAATACGCCCGTATTAGAGAGTATGGAAAAGAACATAATAAACTGACAATTAGTAGCGTGACACTGGATGTACAATTGTAAGGATGAGACAATAAAGAGTTAATGAGAAGCCTCCCAATTTATGATTTGCTTCAACAACTGACTCTTGAACATTTCAAAGGGCAACAAACCTTGATTAGGACTCTATCATTCAGAGGCTTGAGATCCTTCACATCTTCTGTTTCAAGAATACCGATTATGTCATCATCCTTGAGTATAAGATGCTTCGCACCATTGAACTCCACCTCTGTCCCAGCATACTTGGAATATACAACTTCAGCACCAGTCTGTGACACGAAAAGCATTCAGTAAACAGGGAAACCTAAACAGTGATTCATCGTAGCTAAAGAGGATTATGTGGTAGATATCTTAGCTAAAGAGGATTTATGTGGTAGATATCACAACCTCGACGCTGATGCCCACTTTTGTCTTCCCAATTGTTTTACCCTCTCCGACAGCAACAACCTCACCTCCTTGAGGCTTTGTCTGCGCTGTAGTTGGAAGCAAAATTCCACCGCCGGTTTTCTCTTCCACTGTTTTGATCTTCACAAGCACTCTGTCGCCCAAAGGCTTAATTGAAGTGTACTGCAAAATCGAATCAGAACCCATTAACATCAGATAACCTACTAATAGCATGGAATCAACAACTTCAACAAAGGAGCTAACTTTATCAAACAACCAGAGCAACAAACAAGAATTCCACGACACAAACACTCTTTCAGTTTAATTGGCATCCTAAACTTGAAAACAACGAAACCTAAAGTGGTAAAAACAGTTAGAAACCCTATTCAGAACATGTTTTCGGGTCCTATGATACATACCCAATAACCAAAACCAGTATCAAATAGCAAATCTTCAGTGGATATAATGAAAAGGGTAGAGATTAAAGTTCAAATTTATTCATATTTATTATTCAAATCATTATCATCACAAAACTACACATAAATATAGCAAAATTGCCCAAAGCAACCAAATTTTACCCACAAAAGAAATGATAAAAGCAAAAGTAACAACCTTGGGAGCGACGGTGGTGGCGGCCTTGACGGCGAGGCCGCGGAAGGAGCGGTGGCTGACAAGTGATACTCCTGCCGGCGACCCGAACTTGAGGTTTGAAGGTCTGAGCCCTTCAAACGAAGCCAAACTCCTGGCCGAGATCGACGATGCTGTCAGTTGGGCTGCTGCCATTTCTACGACAAATTACCCAAATAAAATTCATCAATTCACCATTAAAAAAATGAAACAAAATCGTACAGAAATGCCCAAATGAACAAAACGCAGACAAATATGATTGAATTGACGAAGGAAAGGGGGCTACCTATTGAATTTGGAGGGCGGCGAGTGTGGGAGGAGGAGGAGGAGGAGGAGGAGGTTAGTGGCTTAGTAGAGTGAAGAAGATAAAACCCTAGAGTGTCTGCAGGCTGCAGGATTTTGGGTTTTATCAGATGATAGAAGACGCTTCTAGAACTCCGTTTTTTGTCCCTCTCCTTTGGTTGCAGTTGTGGTTCGGGCGCCTCTTTAATTTGGGTGGGTCGACGGTACCCGCCCGAATGTGCAACCTAGAGGCTTCTGGAAACATGGGCTTTCCAAGTACCCAAATGGACTCATAAGTGGCCAGGCCTCTCTCTATGTAGCTAAGTAGATTTGTGATTGGGCCATATGGCCATATGCTTATTTGTGTAGTCTGTTATTTATTTTATTTACACGAACGATAGTGTTAGTGAGTTAAGCTGTTAGTTGTTATGCGGATGGAGAACGGTGGGAATCGAATTGGCACCAGATGCATTGCTTTCTACCACTTTTTTTTTCGGTAACATAAGGGGGGGCAAATCAACCAAAATTAACTTGGTAAATTATTATTGCCAGTTCGATCCTAGAGTTTTTTATCATATCATTAAATAAATGAGTTCCAATCCATTCATGTGGATTCTCAAAATAATAGTGCACAAACAAAAATTTCATGATCATGTGCCGATTTGTCATTGGTTATGGCAGTCAATAGTATAAAGGGATACTTTTGTCCTTTGCATGGGAGGGGCATATGTAACCTTTTGACAAACTTGGGGTGAATGTTTTGATTTGGACCAAGATTGCTAATGGACTCCATCATAGGTGTACAATTATTAATTTCTTTTACTACGGGGGCCAATTCGAAAATAACCTACCATCACAGATACTACAAAAAAAATTTGGCCTTATTTTTATAACCCACCCGCAATTTAAATTAATTAATGCTAGAATTCAAGCGCCCAACTCTTACGTTCCCACATTCAATGCCAATTACATGTTTCATATATTACATGCGGTCTAATATTCTAGTGGATATTATGTTAGATTTCTACTCGTGTATTCTGAGTTTGAAACTACATGCTCACTTTCTAAATTATTAAAAAAAATGTTTCATATATTCGGATTAATTTATTAACTCTAAATCTATCATTCTTCTCTTTAAGCATTTATTCGACTCAGTCAGTTTTGAAATCCTGAGTTCTTTTTCCTGGAATATATAGCACGTACATGTTAATTGTTGAAGAATATAAGAATTCCACATCAGAAACTTGACAAAATTAAATATGACCTACAATGTACGTTTACACTTAATAGTCAAATAAAACTCTTACATCTACCTTGTGGAAATAATTAGATACAAATTAAAAAAAAAATCAAGGTAAATTAACTATGACCTGTAGCTTATTTCTCTAAAATCTTGACACATGACTTGCAGGTACGTAGGTGCATCCAAGTCACACCCCGGGATATAGATTAATTCCAGGTGGGCGGCTTAAGGAGTTAGATGATCATAAATTCATGAATCGGGTGCTAATTAGCTAGCTGACCACTATTGATTGTCAATATAATTGTTTTTAATAACAGAGAAGAAAAACAAAAGTAAAATAATGGATAGCGGATGGTCATAGAAATGTAAAAGAATGTGAAGAGAAAAACACAGAATGAACATTAAAAACCAAAACGAAAATCTGGTTTGAGTTGTTTTTATTTTTACGATTTTGTTTTCATTTATTCTTCTTTTATTTCTTTCTTTCTCTCCCATCTGTTTCTTCATTTCTCTGATATACTTTCATCATATCTTAAGCAGAAAAAATAAAAAACCAAAAAACAAATAGTTATGAACCGGCCTATAAGAGAAATGATCTATGTTAAGGAACATACGAGGTTTTCAAAGTCAATTACGCACAAAAATGCGTTTTAACTATTTTAGATAACAATGCGTGATTCAATTGAGGTAATATCGCTTCATGAAATTAAGCTCTTCCAGAACTGTCTAATTGGACAACTCTCGTTGAGAAAAAGCCAATTAAACCAATGTTTACGTAGATGATGGAAGAGAAAAATGGAACAAATTCAGACCCCCTAACTAGAGAGATTAGAAGGAGACAAAGCACAGTGAAGAGACATGCATCATGCATGGAACTTCGGATGAGCTGAGGTTTTAGATGCATGCACATGCGTGGGGTTGGGAATCTTCGGATCAGCTGAGGTTTTAGCCCTAGATGACGCGATCCCAAAGACCTAATATTGCATGCCATAGGCGAGCTTGGGTCAGCACGGTTGTAGGTTATCCATTTAAGTTAAGGTTTGTTCCGCGGTGACGCGTAGTTGAAATTGTATTGGCTGCACTAACTCCAGTTGTTGAATCAACTTTCTGGCGTGCTAACCGTATAAATGTACCTATTTGGTCTAAGGAATTTTATTTTTTATTTTTTATGTTTTCATTGTTTTTGAACAAACAATATTATCTATATTAAGGAGAGGATGTAGACCTAGCCTCATAATGGCCTAACAATAATGTGGTTCAAATTCGCCTTTGGTGAAAATCAAACATAAGACATTTCACTTACAAATGAAAAAGAATACCACTAGACCGTAGTACTAAGTGGCGGTCTGAATAATCTTTTTGAATCTTGATTTAATATCATTTTCATATGCTTAGGTTCGCGACGACGCATTTGGGCCCTCAATTATAGATTTTATTAGGGTGCGTTTGATTGCACTTGCTAGCATTCACTAGACTGGATTAGATTAGGCGGGACTGCAGTGCCGTGTTTGTTCCACGCTAGGACAAGCTTTAATGAGACTCGCCTCGACTAACCAAGACTAACGGCTTCGCTAGAGTGTCTTCGCGAGACCCCCCGAAATCGACTGGATTGCTAAGACCAACTCCTTGCTTTGCCCCCTCCTCTTCCTACTTGTTCCTCGCAAAATTCGAAACCCAAATCCCATTTACCAACTATGCTCTGCTTCGCCCCTCATATACCATTTTCAAACCTAAATCCCTCCAAATTTGAAAACAAAAAAGGAAAAAAAATTATGCACTCTTTCCATTCTCAAAACCAGATCCAAACCCAAAATTCGATACCAAAAAAGAAAAAAAAACAAAACAAAAACAAAATCGATGTGCGTATGAAACGCACAGCAGTCGTCCATTCACACATGCACAAGAGCTGTTCTAATTACACATGCACTCCAGACTGCCTAATCGCGGACCTTCGTCATTGACGCCGGAGAAGCAGAACGATGAGTACCCATATGACTCAAACTTTGATATGGGTTCTGATTTGTCAATTGCGTCTTAGAAAAATTAGAAAAAGAAACAAGGGAGATGAACGAAGAAAAATAGGAAGAAAAAGGTGGAGATGAAAAGGGAGAGGGACAAAGAAAAAAAGGGATTAGGATAGAGAAACTTCGGGAGAAACAGAGGGAGTGGGGAGGAAAAAGAGGGAAAGGACGGAGCAAAATTATGAAGAGTGAGGGAAATGAACAGAAAAGAAATAGGAAAGCACTACGGAGGTTTCTAGAGAGGAAAAATATAGACAAAAGTAGGAATAAAATAATAATAAACCTGAATTAATAATATAAAATAATAATTATTAGTGAATTAAATAATATAATATTAGAATTTGTTATTGCTTTTAGTTCTTAGTCCGACACTACACCAAACGCTTCATTAAGTTAGTCTAACTTAGTTTAGTCTAAGCCAGTCCAGCTTAGTCCCCAAAGCTAATCTAGTCCGAGATAGTCCGACGCAATAAACGCACCCTTAATGTTTAAAACAAACAATGAAGCATGTGTACATAGTGGATAATTATAATTTCTATTTAAATGCAAATATGTCGTTGATCTGTTATTTATATTGTTGAACTTGGTACTTGGACTTTACTAGTGTGAGACTGTTTTTCGTATGAAATGCTTTAGGTCATAAGCATTGTTGTTATGTGTAACGATGAACACTTTTTGTGAAGACTTGTCCCTAATTTCTCATATAATTTTCTTCCAGAGTGTGTAAATTGACATTTATGCCCTTGTGGGAAAAGTTACATGGACATGGTTATTCGGCTTTAATTTAATTTTCTCATTATCGTAATTATTTAGTACTCGTTACGATCGCTTGAGCGCGAATTAGACCCGAATCGGATTTGTAACGAAAAAGTTACGCACAGTTAAAGTATGTTAACAATGGGTATAGTTGTACACGCGTGTGTTAATTTATCAGTGCGCGAGACACTGTTATTGATAAGGAGACAGATTTTTGATGTACGACTTACTGTACAAAATCTGAAAATCTTATCCCCTTCTTCTTTTAAAAATTGGACACTTACCATTTTTCCTCACCACCAATCAATTACTGTCCCACACTATTGCACCCAATCTGATTTTTCTTATTCTCATCCAATCAGAACTCATACTCTTTCTCTCTCTCTTTCTCTCTCATTCTTTCTCTATATCGAGACTCTCTTTTCTCTGCAACCGCTAAGAACAACCACTAAACTCCATGGAACGAGCCTAAAATTTCCACCATCACACTCTGCTCATCCTCACGAACCCAATCGTACAAACCGATCGTGAAATAGTTGAGTTTTGAACACCCAACTAGGAAACTCCGACTTAGACGAGTTTTCCTCAACGTGTTCCCGACCGAGTTACAAGCTTTTGGGACGTTTGGAAGCCTCCACACAACTCCCTCGAGTTAATAGCCTAAGTTTAAAGTCTAGTTGACGTCGAAACACACAGTTTCGAGGCGAAGAAAATAAGTCCGAACTTTTTAAGGCTTTTTCAAGCCACTTCCATCCACCTTTTAGACTTTTGAAAGGTACAATCTTGTTATAATCCTCAAGAGCTTCAATTCCATATAAAGTGTGTTGAAAATGGTTGAGAAATGAGTAAGTTATGAAGTTTTAAATTTTTTTTCAGAAACCGACGACTTTTTCCAATTTCTGGCAAAACCAGACGGTGGCGGCGGATGGCGGAAGTCACCGGAGAAAAAGGAGAATATTCCATCAAAGTTGACAGAATATTTCGTCAAAATATTCCCTAGGTATGTCAGTTTCTGGCTTGCGTATAGGTGCGCGTGTGGTCGTGGGCTAGGCAGCGCGTGCTTGACGTGTACGAGTTGATGATGTCGAGTAAAACATTTTCGTATATTTAAACCCTTCGTTTGAGCAAACTATGGGGGTTTTTCCTA